CCGGTTGGTCCCCATAGCGCCGCCCCTCAGGGCTGCGGGACCAACCTGGCAGCACTCCAGCTGCTCTTCCCCAGGCGTCCCCAAAAGCAGCTGGGGTGCTGCCAGGTTGGTCCCGCAGCCCCAAGGGGAAGCGCCACGGGACCAACCCGGCAGCATCCCAGCTGCTCTGCCCCCAGCTTCCCCGATTCAGCTGCTGGTCAGTTTTAGCAGCAGCTGAATTGGGAAGCCGGGCGCAGAGCAGCTCCAATTGTCCAGCAGCCAGAGCACTTCCAGGTTCCTGATGGTGCCGGACCATCAGGAGTGCCGGAGTACTGGATGCCGGACCAACAGAATTTTACTGTAGTACTTTTGGAACATCCTTAGAAAGTAGGGAAGTATCATCCATCATCCTAATTTTACATATAAGGATTTGAGGCATGGAGTGATTAAACGACTTGATCAAGATCAAACAAAGTCAGTGGCATAGCTGAGAACTGATCCTCAATCTTCAAAGACTCAATCTCTTACCTTAAAATACAAGGCCATTTCTCTTCCTCTACATACTCAGGTTTGAAATTCTGTTTCCTAACTGTGCTTATTTTGCTTAATGTAAATAATGACATTATTTACAACATTCTCCTCAAGTGTCATTGGTGAATGGGACATGAACAACTAGCCAGGAAGGATAAACTAGACAGATACACGTTAAAATGAGTAGGCTTTTAATAACAAATTACAGGGCTGGAAGAAAAGGGTAGGGACAGCTCTCTCTCAACTGGAAAAGACAGTCCTAGAATACACTCTGCTACAGAATTTTCCATATTTTTGATGCTTTTCAGCATTTGGAAACCACTGACAGAGGAACCTAAGCCATGAAATTTTGCCAAAGTTTTCTCTTGTTTTCTACCTAATTGTGACTAAAGTCAATGTTAGTAATACAAATATATTAATTTACATACCATAAGCATATCCAGTTAGCTGGGAAATAATTGCTATGTAGCCAGATAGCCTTCTTGGGGCTCTACGTTTACTAGTTTGTTATCTATTACCAGCTTTATTGAATATGTGCTTGTGTTACACATTTTATATATATATGTGTACCTGCACACATACTCACCGCCACAGGGCACTGCTCTGTACACTGCACATAACAAGAGTTATTAAATAGATTGTCAAATATTTGTACCCTATTTGCAACCTTACCTTATTTTTCCTATTGTCATTGTACTTAATTAGATCTAAAATAAATGTTAAAACTTCTTTAGGACAGAGGTTATGAACATCCCTCAGCAAGGCCATAGCAACAGGCATAGTCTGTGTGAAAATTGAAACAAAATTCTTACATTAGCAGGGAAAACAAAAAATTACCTCAAATAATGAGCAATGAACAGTTTCACAACAACAACTCTTAGAAAAGCCAAAATTCATGCCTTATACAAATGTCTACACAATTTTTAGTTAGAAGTGCTGTGATGTTATTTTCTAAAAACAGTTAGCTCTGATGGAAACAGATTTTAAATGGGCCCACGTATACAGAACAGGAAGCTGATGCCAGGCAAATAAGGCTAAACATGGCAAATGAAACATCATCAGAAGCAAAATCTAAAATGTAGGATTCTGAAGTTTGTGTGTTCTGGGAAGAGAAACAACACTGAAAAGAGTGGCAGAGAATGAACAAAGACCCAATGCATCTGCATTTGCCAGAATATGAAAGTCTGGGATGAGAGACACTGAAATGGTGAAAAGGGATGAGTAATTTTGGAGGGAAGAATGGGAGAAGGATGTGAAAGAAGTGGGATTAAAACTAAATTTAGGAGGAATAAGGCATATGGGACAACTCAAAAATCCAGAATTTTCTTAAAAAAGAATTTGACAAGAAAATACTGTCAATCATTGTAAATTGTTATTTTTAATCACAACAGTACCAAGGAACATAGGGATTTATGCTAGGCACTGCACACATACAGTATAAAAGACAGACAGTCCTTAACTTGAGAAGTTTAGAATCTAAATTGAGATGCAACACATGGGGCTGACAAACAAAAAGTGGGAGAGAGAGAAACAAAGGGCAACAGTGACAAGATTCTTCTATTCTACAGGCGAATTAGTAATGACATTTTAATTAGGGATGTCAAAAGTCAGTTAAAAAGGTAAACGTGTAACCATTGAAAATCTTACCAGTTACATGCACTGCAGGCTCTGAAGTATAATGCCCAGCAAAGCCTCAAGCCCAGTGAAGCCTCCCTAGCAGTGGGACTGCTAGCTCCTACTGGTCCAGCCCCTGGGGAGCTGGCTTCACTGCTGCAGCAAAGCCGCTTCCCCGCTGCAGCAAAGCCGCTTCCCCGGAAGCGGAGCTGGTAAGAGCTGCCAGCCCCGTTTCTAGGGAAGAGGCTGCCCGCCCCACCACACACAGAGGGGTTGCTCCGGCTGGCGCTGCAAGGTTGAATTAGGTGGGTGGAGAGCTGCTCCAGCCAGATGGTTAACCAGAACTGGCAAGCATTACCCATTTAGGGTGATGCTTACTGGTTAGTTGGTTAACCAATTAACCTTTCACATCCCTAATTTGAATAAGATTTGTCTTAGAAGAGATTCTTGGTCATTAATGAAATAAAAAAACAGCGGACAAATAATATGAGTAATTTAACTTTACATAAGTGGAACAACAATTGTTTAATCACGGTAAATAAAACAATAAGTGTAAGATTAAGTTTGCACATGCTTGCAAAGCATTTTCGTCTATTATGCCCATATACTTGGTTCTTTTGAATAGTGAAATATATTTTAAATTCAAATGACTGCTGCTCTCTTTTAGATATTCAGAACGAAAACAGTTATAACTTTCAAGTTAGTGTTGACAAGAATGCAACGAACAGACAAGAAAGTTAGATACAATCTTCATACCGAGAGTGTGGAGAGAACCAGTGATTTTTGGCTTGTGGCACAGATGGTGTTTTTACAATTTATATTGTACAATTTGCCATTTGTAGAAAATAACTTCTGACATATCTTTAAAAATTACAATGAAAAAATATCTTTTACCTTTTGCAGAAAGTAGCTTTGAAAGTTCATGAAGTTGTTGGTCTTCACAATGTTTGGACAACTTTTACAACAAAACATTCGGGTAAAGAGTGACTTCATGGCTGGTGGTCCTGTCCATGTACTTACCATAGAATTTGCAATCTATATAATTAGGAGGAAGGGAAGGCATATTACCATCACCTCTGCAAATTTATGATTGGCTGAACAAAAGCAAAACATATGTATTTCCAACAATTAAAAAAAAACAACCAACAATAATAATTTGACAAAATAAACTGCTCTTCAACAGTTGCATATTTTTATCAATATGCCATCATCTCCAACATACCATCTATGCACTGGAACTAAAGTGTATGGAAGTCTTTTTGCTTATAGGAAATCTGCAACTAATTATCATTGCATGATCAATTTCTGTTTTTCATTATTTCCTCTTTTTATATTTTAGACAAATATTTTGTGCTCATTAAGCCAAGTTTTCTGTCTCTACAGAAGCCAATTACGGAAGAGGCATTTGCAATAATAACTTCCCAAATTTACCCAGCCAATAATCTCAACATAGATTTCAACCACATGTCAACCACCTCAGAAGCAAAAGACCACCCCATGAGTAAAAGACAATTCAGGCTCCTGTCTGAATTTATGTATTCCTGTATTCATGGACCAAAAGCAGAACGAAGTCAGGCAAATCTTGCTGAGATCTGTTTCACTGTAATGAACTATTACTCCACAAAGACACAGCTATAGTTATCCTAGGGCCTGGCCATCATTCTGAGATCTTTAGTGTATAGAATAGTAAATGTCTGCAGACATTAAAATATACACTGTATTTATTTATATAATTTTTAATGTTACCATCAGGACTTTATGCATTTCTATGATTTGGCAGTAATGGTTGAACAGTTTGCCTTTGGTAAAGGACCCTCACAGAAGAGTATATTTTATACTGCAAGGCAGAATTGGATCTGTGATTATGATGTTCTGACTAAGGTCTGACAGAGCCACATTGATATTTTTTCCTCTCATGTTTCTAGAAGGGCAACAGAGTCACTTCCAGGAAACAATTTTCACTCAGACAGGCAGAAAATATGGAAACAGGAAACTGCCAGGTTTCTTGGGTAAAGAAACAGAGAAGGAGCTAAAGAGTGCTTTTAACCCAAGATGACATAGCTGATTCTACCTCTCCTCTGTAATGCACAAACCCTCTCACGAGGTACATCTATACAGCAGTGTTATTTCACAATAACTGACATTATTCTAAAATAACATGTTTCGTGTCTACACTATAAGCAGTTATTTCGACAATGTCAAAATAATGGCAAACTGGAAGACTTCTTACTCTGACTCCTGTAACACTCATTTTACGATGAATAAGGGAAGTTGGAAGAAGAGTGCTCTTTCTCGGACTTCCTGCTGTGTAAAGATAGCGCCAAAAGCCGTAATAAGATATTTCAACTTAAGCTACGCAATTGATGTAGATGTAGACATCTGCTGTGTAGACGCGCCCACAGAGAGAAACCTCACATCTACATGCCCAAGGCTGCTGAACACTTTTGTTTTCCAGAGATAAATGTTACTGTAACAATGGAAGTTATATCCTCAATTCTAAAATTTCTGTATCAGAGTAATTCATACACATTCAGGAGATGTATTACCAAAGATTAAAACATCAACATGGTATAAACTGTTATTTACATAAATACTGCATACCATAATTTTTAAAAGAATGCATATTAATTTTTTACTTAAGCAGTTTGCTGCAAAGTAGAGGGTGTCAAGACCATCTATGGTAAATTGAACCAACAGCAGTGTCTTTTAATACTTTCTAACTTAGTCACATTAATTTCTTACCTTTTCAGTCATAAACTTAACCATTTTTTCTGTTTCTCTGTTCTATTTATGTGCAGTAGTTTGTTCATGGCCTTTGGTGAAGATCTTCCATGCATACATAAATTAAACGAATGACAAAGTTTCCCACATCACAAGGTAAGAAGCTTGTCTCAAATTATTTCTACTTTTAGGGACTATAAAAGCTCTAGGGAAGGTTCGTTGTTCTTATCTAACTTACACCGTTCTCATCATATTCCTCCAACAATGTATTTTTAAGCATTCTTGTACCCTTATACTGTACATCCCAATAAAAACACCTGGCTATTCATTCATCCTTCAATATGATCACGTAGCAATGGAGGATCTTTACTGCTAATCTGTGATTCTACAGCACAATAGCATCATTGTCTATTTAGCAGAATCCAAAGCTTACGTGTCCCATTCAAAAAAGAACTCAAGAACTTGGTTTTCTCTTTTTTCTTCATGGTCATTTCCACAGGTATCATCTACTCAGGGAGCTGTACAGGTGTTATTGCATTTCCTTCACTTTTGATATTGATTCACTGAAAAATCATTACCTGGTTGATGGTAGTATTTGTTGATAGGCCAGCTAAGGTACATTTTAATTTCAACTAAAATTATACTTAAATAACCAACATGTCTAGAAAGCCAAAAAGATTATTTCATACCACTATTAAAATTTCAGGTGATTATAGCTCAATGTGTCATCTGGCTGCTTCATCTGCTACTAATGGTTTTGAATGCAATATATTAAGCAGATGTTGTATTCAGTGTAGTTAATAACTACTGTTTTATCCTAGAATATCACATACTACTTCTGAGCATCAAAATGAAAATCCATAGTTCTGCAACCACATTTTTCACAACAGTAATCACAGCTCTAGTTAGGAGACAACCATGTCTCAAATATCTAGAGGAAATTATTATTTTGCTCAATAAAGTTAATAAAAACTGAACACCTTCTCCAAAGCAGAAATCTCAGGACATAGGGTCAAAGTTCTAATCTTCTACTGAGCGGAGGATGTTGCCAAGAGCTGCATCCTCCCCAGCGTGGTGAGCCAGTGCGTAGTGGTTGACAAAGGTGTGGATTGAAGACCACATGGCAGCCCTACAGATATCCAGAATAGGGACCTGAGCCACAAAAGATGTAGAGGTGGGGCTGGAACCTCAGCCAGATCATAACACTCCTTGATGCAGCTGTCGGTGAGGACAAAGTCGCAGAACTCTGTAACCAAGTATGCAGTGGTGTCATCAGGGATTGTATTCCTGATAGTCTGTAATCCATCTTCATGTGGAATGTTGGTTTAAAGAGCTTCTACATCCATAGTGGCCAGGATGGTGTTTTCAGGAAGATTACTGATGTTTTGTAGTTTCCTCAGAAAGTCAGTGGTGTCTCGAAGATAGCTGAGGGTATGACTACACTACTACCCTAGTTCGAAGTAGGGTGGTTAATGTAGGCAACCGAAGTTGCAAATGAAGCCCGGGATTTAAATTTCCCGGGCTTCATTTGCATCTTGCAGGGGGCCGCCATTTTTAAATGCCCGTTAGTTCGGACTCCGTGCCCGCGGCTACACGCGGCACGGAGTAGGTAGTTAGGATTAGGCTTCCTATTCCAAACAACCGTTATGCAAATGAAGCCCGGGAAATTTTAAATTTAAATCCCGGGCTTCATTTGCAACTTCGGTTGCCTACATTAACCACCCTAGTTCGAACTAGGGTGGTAGTGTAGACATACCCTAAGAGTGCTGGTAGCATAGGGTCTGAGGAGAGAGTCAATATAGCCAGATAATCCTGTTGTAAGTGTGCCAATACTTGAGATGATGGGTCGTCCGGGATTCCCAGTTTTGTGTATCTTGGGTAACAGACAGAAAACTCCAGGTTTGGGATTAGGGAGGGTGTTACTGTAAATTTGGTCCTGAGCAGCATCAGGAAGCTTCATGAGCAGTTGTTTTAGGTTTTTTGGTATTCTTTAGTGGGATCATAGGAGAGAAGCTTGTAGAATCTGGTGTTGGTGAGTTGTTTGGTCACCTGTTCATAATGTCTACAGCACCCCCTTTGACAGCCTCTTTGATTATGATGTTAGAATGTTTTTGAGGCTGTGTATAGCATTGCATTTTGCATGACTGACGTTATATGTTATAGGATGTTGTTTGCTGACAATGTCAGCCCATGTACATTTGCGGAAGCAATCAATTTAGAAGTCAAGACTCTCGTTACAACCATTCTTAGGGGTCCACATAGAAGCTGTCCTCTTGTGGGATTGGCGGGGAGAAGCTGCAAGGTCAGGGTGTGGTACATCTGTGTGATGGAAATATTCCTTTAGGCAGAGGCTGTGAAAATAGGCGAGGTGGGGCAGAAGGAGAGTCCTCAAGAGGACAGATTCTTCTGCTGGGCTAAGAGTGTGGCTGGATAGGTTGACAATGTTGCTAGGTAAGCTGAAAGTATTGGGAATGAGAGATCCTGAGGCGTGTCAGAGTTTGGATAGTTTATTGTCCTTTTTCTTCTGAGGGGAGATGAAGTGATCCGTGTAGGTGGTTTGTTGCGTTTTAGTAAAGTCTGAAGAAGAGGAAGTATATGTGGAAGCTTGGTTTTTTATGAGAGTTTCTAATGTTGACAGCTCCTCCTTGATTTTCTTTTGTTTGTTGTATAGAATGCTGATAAGGTGAAACTCCTTGATGCAGGCGGTTATCCATGAAGAACTCCTCTGAGCAGAGACTGGCTAGCCCTTGAGTCTCTCCGCAATAGCCAGAAACTGCAGAGATCTATAAAAAGGCTTTGTCCTGACTAAATGAAAGGCCAGTGTTCTCCTAACATCTAGAGAGGAACCTTTTTTTAATAAAGTACTCCCCCCCCCCCTTTTTTTTTAAAAGAGTACCCTTAGTACCTACAGTTTTCTCAGACAATTTTTTTTTTTTACCATTGCAACACATTTGTTTGAACAACTTAATCATAGCCAAGCGGGCGATGCAATTTTTGGGTGTAAAAAGTACAAAAATAATAAAGCGCTGTAAAATTTAAAACAAAAATTCAGTTTTCTCCATATTTCAGTTGTGTTGATGCCCCCGCCCCCCCAGACTTCTCTTGAGTACCCCTAAGGGTACTCATACCACTGGTTGAGAAACACTGATCTAGAGTGTGTAAAGCCTGTTCTTTACCAGAGGCCTAGGGTAAAAAGTGGGAGCAAAATGTCTTAAGAGACATGAAACTGAAACACCACCTTTGGTAGAAAGGCGGGGGGAGGGTGTATCCTAACCACATTCTTGAAGAAGACTGTGTAAGGAGGGCCCAAGATAAAGCTCCTTAACTCTGACACACATCTGGCTGACGTGATAGCCACTAAGAATGACACCTTCCAGCAAACACGTCACCAGAGGCTCGAAGGGGGAGGGGGAGCATGAGAGTCTGGTCAGGACCAGTTTATGGTCCCACTGAGGAACAGGTTGTTGGACATGTGGATAAAGCCTGTCCAACCCCTTCAGAAAATGATACACCATGAGAGGTCTGCAAAGATCATCTTGCCCTGGGAGCCCAGGTAAAAAGCAGAGATAGCTGCTAGGTGTACCCTAATGGACAAGGAAGATAGCCCTTGGACCCTGAGATCCAGTAGACAATCCAGGGCCAGCAGGACCAGGGCATCCATAGAAGAAATCCCCTGATGGGTAGCCCAGATAGAGAAACGCTTCCATTTAGCCAGGTAGGTGGCCCTAGTGGAAGGTTTCCTACTCCCTAGCAGGACCTCCTGCACCCACTCTGAGCACTGCAGCTCTACCGGTGTCAGCTATGGAGCTTCCAGGCCATTAGGTATAGAGACCACAGGATGATGAAGCCTGCCGGGACCAGGGGGAGAGGAATAGGGTCTTCTACCAAGAGGTTCCACAGGGTGGTGAACCAGTGCTGCCTGGGCCACGCTGGCGCTATGAGAATGAGGGAAGCCTTGAACTCTCAGGCCCTCAGGAGCACTTTGTGTACCAGTGGGAATGGGGGAAACGCATAAAGCAGACCCTCGGACCAGGTAGTGAGGCGTACATCTCCCAGGGACCCGCAACCCAGGCCCCTGAGCAGAGTCTTTTGATTTTGAAAATGTGACTAAAAATATTTTCAAATCAATATTTATTGTATTCATCCTCATAATGAAAGGAAGTTCAGCGAGATTAATCTACTGCACACCAGAAAACATCCAGCTACTTCTTGATTATGCTTCCATAAGATTTTTTATTTTCATTCTTTTTACATTTTCACTTGTATGTTTCTAGTGATATTCAGTTTGCTTCTCATTTGAACTCCATTAATATTTATTAATTTTGTATCCAAACTATTTCCCCCCTTTTTTAAGTCAACAATTTGATTCTAAATTTTCAAATGCAGACTAAATTATTTTTGCTTCACTCAACCTAAAGATATACAGTGTAGCAATGTGAATGCACACAGTAGTCTAGTCTCTCTCATGTTATAAAGGGGAAATATACCACTTCACCAGATTTCTCAGAAGACGGGCCAAGGACTTTCCCACCAAAATAAAATACTTTTGGCTCTGAAAAAAAATTTAAACAAAAGTTCTTTTATTTCGGCAACTTAATGAAATCTGGAAAAATCCCTTGTGGTTTAAATGTCTGACATCTCAATTTTGACAATTATTATGAAAGCTTTCTGCTGTCTACATTTACAGACTAAAATAATAAAGCTTTCCTTTCAAATCAGTCATGCTAAAAATACTTGGCAAACCCCTTTAAATAGGCCAGATATCAAGCCAGTTTAAAAATTATGGTGATTTTAAACTCATTTTCAAATGTTTACAATGTCTAGCAGATTTCTCTCATTATTGCTGTGTTATATGATCTCACCTTTGCAAGACAGAAGCAGGCCAGCATTCTCACTCGGTAGAAACACTGCTCTTGTTCTAGTATATCAGTCAGTGCAAGTCGTGAAGCAGGAGTGGGGAACTTTTCCAATGCCAAAATGGATTCTTCCTGTGCAACTACATCTCTCTCATATCGAAGCTGATATTGCCACATGAAATCAGCTTGTTCAAATTCTACTTTCCTCAATACAGACATATCAGGATCTATTCTTATCCAGAGTAAAGGAGAATCAGCACTAAAAAGAGACACAAAGATTCATAGCTTAAAGCATTGTAATCCTACAATAGTAAACAAAAATGATGTTTCAGCTAATTGTAAATTAACAAAAAATGGTAAACCGCAGTTAAGCATGCTAAACGGGCAAACCTGGAAATAAACATTTTCCTTAACAACAATATGAAAGGTAATAGCAAAATAAGTAGTATTCTCAATGTGTTTAATTCTCTTTTCTCAGAGACTGTATATGGCATGGTTGAACAGTGCAAAGAGTACAAACAAGGTGGCCAATAAGAGACAATTGAAATGGATGGCTTATAACAGCTATCATGGTGGAAACTGATGAGAATCTCCAGTTCATTTCACATGTACCTAACAGGGATGTTAGATAGCATGTAATTGAATAGTTGTGTAACCGCATCAACTTTTAGCAGTTACACAAATATTCAATAGTCCCTGGGGCAAAGCCAGCCGTCAGTGTGCTCCCTACCCAAGTCCTGGGCAGCCCTCTGCCACCCCACACTGCTGCCTCTGTATCAGAGGCAGTGGGTAAGCCCGAGCTCCCTATGTACCTAACAGGGATGTTAGATAGCATGTAATTGAATAGTTGTGTAACCGCATCAACTTTTAGCAGTTACACAAATATTCAATAGTCCCTGGGGCAAAGCCAGCCGTCAGTGTGCTCCCTACCCAAGTCCTGGGCAGCCCTCTGCCACCCCACACTGCTGCCTCTGTATCAGAGGCAGTGGGTAAGCCCGAGCTCCCT